ACTTTTAATGAGATGTTAAAAAGTAATGAGATTAAAATTCAATATATAAAACTTGACCAAAATGACAGGTTTTCTTAATCAATGTGAGACAGATAATTGGCTCTGTCCAAGTTATTCTATCATATAACAAAGAATGTCTTAATCCAAAAATAATAATCAAAATAAATTGAGTTGAACATTCAACTTCTCCCCTATTACACATGAAAAGAAAATAAGAGGCTAGATAAGAAACTTTGAAAATAAAGAGTGAAAATGAGCAAGGGGTAACAAAAAGTTAAAAAGTAAATCAGTTATACATGACTGATTAACAAAATTCTATTTTCTTTTTTATAATTTGGTAACAAATTAACTAAGAACAAAATTAAATTAACTTCTTTGAACCACAGAGATGTAAGGTTTATTTTCAAAGTAAGCTGTTATTCACTCTTTTAGAAAAGATAGTAGAATTAAGTCTAAGGACTACCTTTGAAGAGTAGAGAATATCTATAGGAAAATCATTGCATTAAGGAGTAGACCTGCCATTGTGACAATGTTCTCTAACACACTTATTAAGCATCCCGTCAAACCCCATTCTGCTCATCTTTCCATCTGGTAAGAAAATGATATCACTCCCCCTTTCACTTCCACTTTAGCATTACAGTAAACTGCTGTGTGGCTTCAGACACTAAGATGTCAAACTGCTGGGCTGTGAATGAAGATGAATGCATGTCTCAGCAGAAGGGTCAGGCATAAGAGACAAATAAGAGATTGTTTTTCCTTTTCCTGGCAGCAGAATCTGCCCTCTGTTTTCACAAGGAATCTTAGAGATGGAATTTAGTGACAAAAATCTAGAGAAGTTTGGTAAATCAAGCCCATGGAGTACCATCTCACTTTTCCTCACATTGAGGGTCACTTGTATAAGGTAACTTTAATGCACTCAGTAAGGAAGACACATTCTGGTCTTCAATATATATGAATACTTACTGTCGGTTCAGGAACCCATATAGGACGTGGACTGGACATGTTATGAAGGAAATCAGAATAACAGACAAATAGAACTCTTGTGAATTTATAACTTAATATGCTTGAACAAATTGCTATGATAAAATAATTTGTAGCCTCAGGGGGTGGGGAAGTAGGGGTGGGAAGAAAACTGAGTATAGATTTTCCTAATTAGTGAAGCATCACTTTTTTTCACAAAACAATTTGGAAACTTCAGCATAGATTTTGACACCTATCATCTTATTTTGCAGTGAAGGTGGTGAATGGAGAAGACAGTAATTATTTATGTAGAAAAAAACATGGGGTTTGTCACTAATGCACCATTGTTAGAGACAACATTGTAGATGTTTTGAACTGCTTTTGCTATAGAAAAAAAAAAAAAATTACTTAATGTTTGAAGAAAAAGGAAATAAAAAGGCTTACAAGAGGAGAATTTTGCCTTGCTTTTGTTAAGATGAGAGATAATTTTCATTTGAGTTTAGTCGCAAAATTTTACTTTACTCAATTTAAAGAGTGATTGAAGAATACACATCTTTGTAAATCATCCCTGCAGTTCCCTCATCCAATGCTGTTTCATCCCTTGGAAACCTTTGAGAATAATTCCAGTTGTAATTTGAAGTTGTGCCATCTATTTTACATAACAATTTTTTTTTTTTTTATTCATTACTAGTGATGACGTTTAGGTTTTAGAATCAATTCAGAGCAAATATTTAGGAGAACTTTAGAAGCAGGACATAAATGCCTGTCAACAAATATTTAACTAGTTTTCATGATCTCTCTGTATTTCTTTCCTTAATTTATGTGTATTTCTTTCCCTTAGACACTTCTGCCTTACTGATGCATTTGTATAACCTAATCAATTTCTAAACTCTTGTTAAATTTTGTCCATTTAGTACATAGTCTAACCTTTATGTCATTACATGTAATATACACTGAACTGATGATGATGAATTAATCAGATTTCCATATTGTCTTAATTATTTATAAATTTAATCTGTATATGGAAAATGGAAAGATACATTGTTGTAACCAAGGGAACAAACTCTTTTTTGGTGTACCCTGACAGCACCAGGAAGGTCAAAGAGAACAATATTTCTGTCAACAAAAAGTATTCATGCTGATCAGTATAACTTCCATGTGCTGTCCAGTATTTCAGCATTTGCCTGTTGTTTTTTGGATCAAGTTATAACAACTGTTTTTTAGAGTATTTTTTACATGGAAAGAAAATAAATTATTTCTTGGATGTATTAGAAGTACATTGTTACATGATATTCTAGTTTTGAATAAATAACTATTTGTATATATCAAAGGTATAACACTTGGTATTTCACTGGCTGTTGGCTAGATATTAAACCACCAAATTTTGACATTTGATATTTATTACAAAAGATTCTGGTTGCATAAGATCTCCATGTATTGAGGTACATGGACTTTGATAACTAAATGTATGGATGAGGTAGCAATACTTAGTAGGATTTGAAGATTATTTTGTGTCATAACCCAAACTTCTATATTTTTATGCTACTGAGTACTGGCTTATTTTATAAAAATGTTAGTGATAATTATCTAGAGAACAAGATAGTGAATTATTTATAGTACCAAGATATGTGTGGGGTTTTTTATTCAGAAGACAACGACATGGTTTTAATTCACCAGTTACATGAGCTGGAAAATTTTCTGGAGTATACATTGCAATGTACAACTCACATTTTTTCTAGGAGTATACATTGCAATGTACCTTTTCAGTGGTGACCAGGCAGAATATTGGGTATACAGAACAGTTCCTTAGACTGATCCTGTAACAGGCTTATAAATCTCTGTGAACAGATGGGACACAAAGGACAGTCAGAGACCTGCACCTTAGTCATATAGCTCATAAATATATACAGTAGAGATGGAAAGAATGAGCTAGCATGAATAGCTAGAATAAAGACTTAAAGTTTTAGTGGAGATTGAGAAGTTATCAGGGTCAACACACACATGGTTATAACTCAAAGGACTCAAGGGACAACCTCAAGGGACTATGTAGGGACTATGTGGGAATAATATGCAGATATAAGAAGTCAACCCAATCTATGTAGAGTGAATCTGAAACAGAAATGGGGAAATATAAAAAAGGGATTTCAAAATAGCTGGTTTTCATTTAAAACAGAACAAAACAAGAAATGGGTGATATTGTGCTAGAAAATTGCTTTGATCACTTAAGGTCTAAACCTGGAATATGCCTCATTGATTATGAAGAGAAGAAGAGATTTAAGGCAAAGAGTGAACTAAATATCATGAAGTACCAAAATAAAAATCATTCATGGTTTGTTTCAGGGCTGGTGTTCCAGCTCACCATCTAATTTATACAAAGAAATTTGTGGTCATAGAAAGATGTCTAAGTTTTTTTTTATTCTTCTTTCCTTTTCCTCTCATGTGATTCTCCTTTTTGCTTATTATAAGTTCTTGGCGTAAGTGATATCTCCTGGGGAATTCCATTTTTTATTTGTGGTGACAGAATGGATGAGATATGCTTGGAAGAACTGGGTTCCACAGAAGAAAAATATGCAGCTAAGTATAATAATATTGAAAAATAAATCAATAATTTTCACAGCATGTGAGATCTGTCAGGGCAAGGAACATAGTCAGCTAATTAACGTCCTCTTCAGTTCGTATCATTCCACTACAGTGGGACTCTAGATTGGCATAGCACACCTGCGATCACCTTGAATAGCCACTGGATGTCACTGATGATCCACTGAAAATCAGCTTAACCCTTTAAGCATTATCTTGTTATGCATGGAAGAGTCAGCAGAGAGGTCACTTACTCCCATGACCTTGGGGATGTGAATTGTCTATCACCAACATCTGCAACGACACATAAATAAGAAATTCTCAAAAGAAACAGAGATATGGTCAACTGCAAGGCACACCATGAGTTAGGATACGTCAAAATAGTATTTGGATGTGAGATGATGGCTACTTATAGCTCTTGAAACTGTGCTATCAAGCCTTCCTGTATGTTCCAATACATAACAACCCAGGTGGGAGGACATATTTTTTTAGTATTGGACAGTGTCCTTTTCACAGTACACACAAACTGACTGAAAATTTGGTTTTCTTATTTAAATGTTTCAACAACTCTGGGATCTTTCTGGAAAGACTGCAGCAATTCTTTCCCTTATCTGGGGAACCTAAATTGCCTTAGTTTGATGAGAAATAAATCATTTTCCAGCATGTTTCTTCTCTCTCAAAGATAAAATTCCCAATGGCAATTCAAAGGAGAGACATAGATAGTTTCCTGCCATGGCAAGAAAAGTAGAGGAATGAGAACAACATCAAAACCAAAGCATTTATATCCACCATCATGTTATTATAACTGGCAAATTCACTGTAGTGATGAACCAGTTCTTTCTGTACTTTACTACTGAGTATATTAAGTGAAGAGTAGTGAGAAGTGTACTTGTCTATTGTAGAAACCAGGTACAAAAGAAGAGTTTTCAATGTTTTGGGGCCATTGCATTCTATTTGGATTTAAATGTTTTTATTTTTTATCCTATGAAGATTTCTTTTCCTTCAAGCAGAAGCTGTCATCTTGAGAAACCCATGTATCAATTAATTAGCTGTTTTCCTCTAACATTTCAACTTAATTCTTTGCTTGCTGCTTGATGCCAATGTATCCTCTTGTTCAGGATAGTATGGAGATAGTGATCAGAACTTTTAAAGACTCATTTACAGATCAGATAAGACACAGCACAATGAGCTCTTTTCACTGATACATTTTTAGCTAGCTCATTTACTATATACTGTGAAGCCAACTGAATCTTTAAATAAAACAATAGTATATTCTCCAGTTAAAAGTCTATTTAGTTGCCCAGTTGAAACTGAACATTTATGTAAAATGTTGCAAGATGATAGTAACTGTCTGTAGAAGCAACTCAGAAGCAACCATATAATAGTCTATGAATGAGTATCTTGGCTGGGATGTGAATAAAAAATATTTTGTCTTAAATCTTCTTTCACATTGTGTTTTACAGACTTCATCATCCTATGTCTGACTTTAGACGACATCTATGGAATAAGAAAAGCCAGCTTCCAACCTTGCTCCAGTATTTAGTGTAACAAGGAGCCCAAAATGCATGTTTCCATCCACAATGAAGTATTCTGGCCTCCATGGAGAAAACTTACTCTTCAAAATATACGATTCCACAATATTAACATTGTTTAACTTATAAAATAAATTACTGCTACTGATTATAATTAGCTTACCTTAAAATAAAAGTCATCAGAATTTTTTCCAGCAGGTGCTTTCTCTGCAATGCATTCCGCCAGATAAGTACATACAGTGTAACAAGAAGTGAAACCTCCATTTATCTTGAGATGAATAATTTAATTATTTGTTCATGAGTGTAGATTCATCTGTTTTGAGAGGATTTCTTTTGTCAGGTCTTGTATCTAAACACCACTTTCCAATCTATTGCTGTAAAACTTGATGTAGTATGAGTGGGACTTGACAATGATTGGACATACTTTTGCTTCAACAAGTCTCCTGTATTTGAGTTAGTTGCTTTAGCTGGGTCATTAATTTTTCTTCAGAGGAGAAAGAAGGGCTCTTATGGAGGAGATTCAGAGATTCATAATGCCATGTCCCTCTATAAAGCACTGCAGCACAGTAAGGGTGTTAAAACAGAGTGGGGTAATTCTGATGTTCACAATGGAAGGTGAGCACTGGATTTTGTTTAGGCAAGGTTTTGCTTCACACCTGCTCTAGTCTTTGGTCCTGCTGACTGGGTGTCCATTAACAACTGAAACACACAAAGCTTATTTTCTTTGGTACATCTGATCACTTGGCTTCCTTTAACAGGAATTGAGTTCATGTGCTCAGAAGTAGCTCCATGAAGGCTACAGACTTGATGATGTGCTCATAAACTGAACTAAAAAGTTAATGGGGACCCGCTGTAAGGGTACAATAAACCTTTAAAGAGATTTAAAGAGATTGTCCACTTAGGGTAGCTAATGTACATGCCTTATTACGTCTATTTTAATTTATCAAAGAGAAATGTTGCTACATAGATTTAGATTACACAAAAAAGGTATATTGTGTTATATATGCTTTCTTTTTTATTTGTTGTTTATGTTTGTTTTTTAGATTCAGTACCTAGATTTAAATTCTCATTTACATCCTGAGAGTGATTTAATTTAATTTTTTAATGATGGCAGGTCGGAAATTTAGAAGGGCAGACAGTGGATATGAGAATTTTGTTTTCTCTTCTGGGAAGCACTCCAAGAAGGCAAATCCTTTTCCCCTGTAACCTGCTTTGTAGGCTTTGATGTTGCAAGATACAATCAAACCCATGACATTATATTGAAAAGCAAATAGGATTTTGAAAAACTGTGAAAGAGATCCCTGTGAAGAGATACCTAAGGAAAAAAAAAAAAACAAGAAAAACCCTTCTGAAAGGAAAGATAAATTCTTCATAATTTTTCCCAGAGAAAATATTTGTAGATTAACTGCCAGTGTGGGTTTGCCAAGAGATTACTATATATATGTGAAAAAGAGCAGGAATAGAGAGAATGAAACTACAGGAATAGAATGAGCACTTATAAATTGTGGTGACAGATTTACTAAACTGTGAGCAGAGAAAGAAAAATGAGTACATTTAAAAAAATCTGTGTAATTGGTGAATCTTTTCAGATGCTGTTTAGTGCAGAATGGGCAATATACAAAACCAGAAAATGTAAAAGCAGCAGGAAGTATAACTTGTGACTTTGCTTCTTAGAGAAGCCTTTATACAGACAGTGGCACTTGCTTTGTGCTCATACACCACTAGCCTCTTTCAAACTACCAGAGAATATTCATGTATTCTTCAAGACTGAACCAAAATTATCTGAAAGTGCCTCCTTCACATCAGGTTAGCCTGTGCAGTGGTGAGGTGAGGTCTTAGACTTCTCAGAGAGTAGAAGGGGCTAAATCCAGTGGCTTCCACAAGAAGATGAAAGGCTCTATAGCAAGGGCTTGTAATAAAGGAAGGAAGCTCCAGAGATGAGCTGGATTTAAGATGTGCCCTTTCATCTAAGTTCCCTTCTTTTTTAGATTAGATGTCTCTACACATCTGTGCCAATGATTGTAGACATAATTTTGAGGGACCTAGCTCCCTCAATGCAATGTTTGGGGAACAGAGTTCTCTAAACCAGTGAAGTGAGCTGCACTACTGGTGGTCAGCTGTCTTACCTGATGTAAAGGTTCACTCTATTACATTAAATGTAGAAAATAAGGACTAAATTGCAGTTTATTTGGAAAAGTTAATGTATTTTTCTGTCAGTTCAGCTTTTTGATTACATTCATCCCTGTTGCTTATTGTTCAAAATGCAGCTTTTTATAGAATACTTAATTTTGCAGGGGGGTTGAATCCAACATACTAAGAGGCAAGAGATCAGAATTTGTAAAAGTTATTTGGTGCAATTTTAGTAGTAAAATTTCTAGTGACTTCACCTGTTGAAGAATTAGCAGAACACTGAGGCCTTTTTTAAAATCTCACCCTGAGACTGAAGCAAGGCTCTGCAGTCCTTAATACTGTACAGTGGATTGTGTTGGATTTACTAGAATGACTGTCCAGCATCAGAAATTTGAACCAACTCAGAGGTGAACTTAGAATTGTTTTGACAGATTACTCAAAGAACATGAAATTCAGTGTTTGCCAATTTTATGCTTTGATATCAGGTTTATTGTTGCTGTGCGAAGGCAGAAGTCTTGTGATCCAGCAAAAAAGCCTGCCAGTATGTACCCAAGTGTTTTGAAGTACGAGATGACAAAGTGAGTTTATGCTCACACAGCTGCCAGAATGAGGGAGAAGTATTTTCTGTCATGTGACTGCAGCATTTTTTATCTTGTATTAGCTACCTGAGAGATGAATTGGCTACATCATTCAATTGCCATCTGAGTCTCACAGGCTCTGCCAACATGATGTTTGTGAGGCAGATACAGGCTTTGACTGTGTGAGCTCTGTGTGGATCAAATGGGTGCCAGCTGTAACCTTGCAATTGTACAGATTCTTCTGGCCTGGTGTTGCCTGTGAACTCTCAGATCCTGTTAGGAATTTATGTTGGTTTAGGCTCAGGCCCATGTGAACAGGCTGTGTGTTGTCTGGCCAGATTGTAATATTGCAGAATGAGCTTATATTTGCTTGGATGGAGGAAAAAAAAAAAAAAAAAAAAAAAGGGCAAGCTTGCATGTCACTGTAAAATACTTCCCAGACACACATTTAGACAAAATCCAAAATGTACTCAAAAATATTTTTGTGAGTCATCTGTCTGAGCAAAAGGCAAAACCCCAGAGACCCAAAGCTCTGCCCTATGTAAGTTTTGAGCATTGTCATCTGCTTGCACTGGTGATGAAATATATATGTGTGCCAAAGCCTACTCGAGTGATCAAGAACTACTTTATCTATCTATTTGCATGTGACATTTTGCACTTGCACACAAAGGAAAACAGGACTGAGTTCTATTTGAAAGAGTAACTCTTTGTGGTTGCAAACCAGGGCTAAAATGAGTGCTAAAGTGAGTGTAAATCAATAGCCCTAGAATGTTAACTTATGAATGCAACAGAGGTGGCTTTTCTTGGTTTACAGTCAGAACTCCAGGGCTCTCTGTTGTAGGCTACTGTATTCCTTGCTTATTCTGACTCTGTTCACAGCTCCACTATGTACCCCTGACAGAGATCAACCTCCTAGTGACAGTGGTTTCCTTCTGCACAGTCCAAAAACGAGTGCTTTATGGATGGGAAGCTAAGAGTGGAATATTGGAAAGAATAGTAGAATCAGAATAGCTCCTTCAGATGATGCTTTGACACTAATTTGTTTAATCTTGACTTTTTAAAGGTGTTTGAGGATGTTGGCCTATCCTGGACTTATTGAAAGTCATGTGCCTTAGGCAGTTTTTGGAAGTCCTAGCTGTAGCAAATATGTCACTCTGTATTTCAGTACAATAAAACAGTGCATGTAACTAGACAGTGAGATATTTTAAGTCTCTCTTTCTCCTGTGTTATTTACTGCATTCACTTTTTGTCTCACTTTCTTGAATTTAGAACAATGCTTTCCAATAAGTTGTTCTAGTAAAGACACAATTTTCATGCACAAAAATAATCTCATCAGGGAAAGATACATGGATCTTCTGAGCAAAGCATATCACTACTGCTAGATATCTTTCATCAGGTATTGCTAGCTATAAACAGAACTAAAACTTACTGCTAGCTGGCATGCAATGGTAAGCATTACACTTTCCTTAAATGGTAATTAATACATGCCTCTGAACCCATGTGCAGTCTCACTGACTTTACTGTGAGGCTCTTCAGTTTGGAGAATTGACATGTAGAACCCATTGACTGTATAAGTGGGGTCTGCTGAGTGTTCTGTTGTCTTCTGAAAGAGCAAACAAGTGTAGATTTTCTAGGCTGTGATTCCTAATTTATCCATATAATTAAACTTGTTAAGCTGAACTCTGTGAATTTCCTCCATATCTCTCATGTTTTTAACATGTTTTCAACTGTGCCTAATGCTATTATATTGAATCATAATTCAGGATTCTGAAATTCTAAAAGTAAAAAAAAAGAATCAATAACATCTCTGTTTATCAGTTATAACATAACTACTTTTACAAAACAAGTTTGTTGCTATCATAGAAAGCAGCATCTTAGAGGTGGAAACATTCCCTGCAATCCAGTAGCTCTCTCTCCATATTCTTTTATCTCACTTCAAGCTATCATTTTATCAATAACAGCTTAGAAAACAAAGGTATCTCTGCAACACAGGTTTTGGTATTACTCTTTGGAAGTTTTCTGCATCCATCTGTGTGTGGTGCACAGGCACAAGGAACTTTTAATGAGGACATACAGGTGAAAGACCAACAACATTACAGGGTGCATTTAAATTTCACAACAGCAAGGGGAGCAGCGTTCAAAAGCCCAGGCATTTTAGGATGCAGTTACAGATACCATAGGATCAAACTGGATGAAAGACAACAGAGAGATCCTCTAAAGTCTCCCATGGTGAGAGAATATAACTATAAGAACTGTTAAGCTTGAGATAGTTGTTCTTCAAGATTTGAGGTCCTTCTTTTGCTAATGAAAGTTTCTAATAGTTTTTACAAGATTTAGAAAAATTTCCAAGAATGTTTGAATTCTAGTATTTTAAAATAACATATTCTGGGGGCAATTCCATAAAATATTAATGAAGAAAAAGGAGGTGAAATATTGAGGAGACACAAAACTATTTTGTTCTACATTTATTTTTCTTGTTAGGCAAATAA